CCTTAAATTCCAAAGAAAAATCTCACTTCTCAGAAAAAGAGTGAACACTATCGAGTAGGAAACAACCATAGAGCAATAAGGACACAATTGTCGCGGTTTTAATTTGTCAAAAACTTTAGTGTGCCAGATTAAAGTCAAGTGGTGAAACCAACATGTAGCAGAAAAAAAATATTAAAGGAAATGAAATCTTATAGAGGAGCCCTGCAGACCTTCATGACTCTTTGTTAAGGCCAATAATAATAGGATAAATAAATAAAATGTCAATACTCCAATAAAATGACAACACTCCTAAAAATCTAAAAAACCCTCAATAATAATAATAATAATAATTAAGAAATGTTTTTAAAAGTTATTATAAACATGCATGCATTAAATCGAAACTTCTTTAGAATATGGTATGCATATATTATATTTTAGATTTTTAAAAGGGTTTTCCCCTTTCTTTATCATGGACTCTCATTTGCCAATGACCAATTAATAAATATTTTAAGTTAATGTTTTTCTTTAATGTTTTTGGGAAAAAAAACTATTTAGAATTTGTTGATATTATGTTTAACAAAACAATGAAAAGTGCACCCACCCATCTTTGAAGTAACTGAATAATATCTGCTTGGCAGTCTCTTCATTTGTTTGTTGTGAAAGCTCTTCTTGACCTTTCAGAAGATCAGGCGTCACCTGGGCAAATAATGTATACATGCATAAAACAAATTACTGGTCACCCCATAATGGTGGGAATATGTCAGAATAGCAAAGCGGAAGACCTCATTCTTACCTGAGTATCCATTTCAGTGCTTGATGTTTTATCATTGACAGCGGGACGAGAAATTGATCCCATTTTCACACTTGACAGGCACTTCATACCCTGTGATGGTTTGGCCTCTTCATTTTTATTCTCTACAGGTGCTACAGAGGGACGACTCTGGGGATTCTTGTACCCTAAAATAGCAGCTGAAGAGTTGTAGACTGTGCCCTGAGGAGAGCCTGGAGCACTTTTAACTTGTGTTGTGCTTCTTAGGTTTATCCTGGGTCCGACAGTGGAAGTTGGCGACATGGGGGAGGTCTTTACTCCAGCGGCCTTCTGCAGGAGCAGTGATGGGCGAAGGAGATGCTCTGTAGACCTGCCTCGATTCCGACTAACTTCATCCAAGTAGTCAGATTCACCCCCAAGACCGAATGGCAAGGCGCTATCGACACTACGGGAACGCTTGCGGTCTTCTGGGTTAAGTCGATTCCTCCGCCCTGACCGACCCCTACGTTGTTGAGTCTCTTTGCTGTCAAACTTCTTGATGAGCTCATCCACACCTGGAATTGAACCCGTATCAATGTCACGCCCTGTGCCAGGCAGGAACGGGATGTAGCGCCGGTTCTCATGGCGGTTGATGGTCTCTGCATAAAGCTGGTCCAACTGGTCTTCCTTGGTTGGTGTGGTGGAGCCCAGAGAGGAGTTTTGG